TAATTTTTTTTTAAATTACCATCTTGTTTATATTAGTTAATATATTATATTATTAGATATTTGTTTCAATTATATTTTATTTGATTAATTTTAAAGATGTTTTTTTGGTCATTTTACATTCTTATCAGMTACTTTTATCAAACATGATTTGTTCATCAGCTAGTTTATCAATTATCAGTCAACTTATAAACTAACATCTAGTTTATCAGTCACCAACTAGCTTATTAGCTACTTTGCCAAACATAGCCTAATATCTCAAAGCACCCATCAAAATTTAGTGGATGCACGTATCCTTCATACCTCAAAAAAGATATTACTTGCGAAAATCGGTCGAACAAATGCACGGGAACCCGCTCAGCCCCTCATAGGTCCGCCCAGTTTATGAAGCAATGACAAATTTTAGAAGTTCTTTTATGCATCATAATATTTAATTTTATGATCTTATAAAAAATTTAAACACAGACTATTAATTACAAAAATTAGAGAAGGCGTAAGAAGCGAATGAGACTTACGATTCCCTTTTTACAGTCTTGATCCTGACATTTTATAGGTTTAGGACATGTAAAAAGAATGTTCTGACAAAGTAGTAGAAATATCTTAAGGTACTCATTTATTTTACATGTTAGCATATAACCATTATAAAACAATCACATGTGATACTATAATTTCTTCACATATAATATTCATGTGATACTAAATCAGATATGCGGACAACTTTTGGACGAATGGGGACGAGGATTTCCCGCTAAAACAGGTCCCGAGGTTGAGGATCCTCGATAGACTCAAATCAGGGTCGGGGGGCTGTTACTTAAATTGGAGTTGGACTTGGGAATCCACGATAGACTTAAATTAACGGATATTCTTCATAGGGTTTGACCGGGGACGGGATGTTAATACCCGTACCTGCCGAGGACCGGGGCCGGGGGCTGTTACTAAAAATAGTGGTCAGGGATTACAAAACCGCCTCCATCCCTCCTCCGTTGCCATGTCTAGTATGAACTGTAAATATAACTATTTTACCTTTTACTATAGGTTAAACACTAAACAAAATAAGAGTAAACTACAAATTCAGTGCTCATGGTTTGTCAAAAATAATATTTTTTATTTCTACAGTTTTGAAATTACAGGATGATCATTGTAATTTATAAAAACATCCAGATTTAGTCTCTTTTACTAACGGATGTTACAAGATTCTGTTAAATGAAGGACATTTTTGTCTTTTTATTGGTTTTTTACCTTTCACTCAATCAAAAATCAATTTTATGATTTTGGTTATGTCGTTTTTAATTTGGTAAAAGACAAAAAATGATTAAAAAAAGCTCTACATTTAACGAACTTTTTTAACGATCATTAGAGGAAGGGTTAAATCCGAACATTTTTACCACCCACGTTATCCATCTTGTACAAGTTTTATTTTTGACAAACCATAAAAACCAAATTTTTAGTTTACTCATAAAATAATTATCTGCAAATATACGCATTTTCAAAACATGATTTAGGGCCTGTTTATCAAATGCTTATTCGGTTAAGCGTTTACCAAGTCACATTATCTCACCGAATAAATATGGTAAAAACCAAGAATTTTACCCGGTAAGAGCGAGACAAGGACCAAGAGTCTTACCCAGTAAGTGAGGACGATGACTTTGTTGCATACGATGTTGTTTTGGTAGGCTAAAATCTTATCCGGTAAGTAAATAATAATGTTAATTTTTACCGGTAAGCAGTTATCGGGTAAGTATTTGGTAAACGCCTATTAACCCTAAAAAAATTCATTTAACACCACCTGACCTATTTTGAAACGTTGTCAAAATTAGAGGGGCTCAGATGTAATTTTCTCATTTAATATAAAAGGAGTAGAAGGAAGAGGAGACAGGCGCGTCTAAGTAGGAAAGCACACCCGATAAGTCATTTTGTCTGTTTTTTCTCTCTAAGATCTCGCCATCTTGTTCTTCAACTCCATTGTTGAATTCATCGCTCGTTAATCATAAACAATTTGGAAGATCTTCAAGAAAAAAGTCTACAAATATATTAGGAAGCTGGAAGATGTCTGCAACTCTGTGATTTGATTGCGAGTCGCGACTGGAAAGTTTCGAAATTGAGATCGGAATGACAAGATTGGACTGTTGTTTTTGCTGATTAAGATGGAGATTAACACTCATCGGAATCGTCGATTCATCTCTTTATTATTTCTGTTGTTACTCTCTTGTTTCTTTAGCATTTGTTGTAGCAGTGAGGATGATTTCTCACAACTGCCTCCTATCACGCCTATCAATCGCGATCTCTACCACACTAGGTAAACTAAATATTCTTCGAACAATGTTAGAATTGATTTTGTGAGAAAAAGAACTGATGTATGCTTCTAGATTTGATTTGGATTGCTTTTTAATATGTATTGGAATCTTGCCATTTGCCTCTCTGTGCGGTAATGTGTTTAATTTGATTTGGTTTAATTCTTGATTGGTGTTGATTTTATTTTAAGTTTGCATAGTCGAACATTTTACTTAATTTTCCATTTTGACTTGCGGCTGATCTCATCTATGTGACTTCTAATATTTTGGGAGAACTTCTTTTGACAATTGGGTACTTATACTGCACATTATACAGGTACAATAATTGCAAAGTGTTGGTGTTAAATTTTACACATCCATATCAAATTTGCACTTGCAACATGATGTGTGCACTCTAAGTCAAAGTATATCTCTTATTTTGAAAGGGGGGAACATTTTTCTTTGGTGCATTATGTGTCATTTTGTGTAGTTTGAATCCAGTTAGATAGTGTTGAAAATCCGTCCAATTTGGGTGTTGGAAATATTTGTTTTCAGCCTTGCTATAGATCTCTTCCTTTTCAGTAAACATGGTCATGAAATTTTCATGACTTTTGGCTGGTTTTTGCTTTGACCTAGAGCTGAAGGTTTGAATTACAACTGATGCCCAAAGTTCAAATCTAAAACTGATTTTGTTTTGATCTACGATTCTAGGTTCTAGGCCAGGGAGTCTATGACCCCAGACAAACATAAGGAATTAGAGAAAGCTTGATACCAACATTTGTGTACTTTGCCTGTAGTTTTCCAGTAGGCTATTTTCAAGAGAGAAGTCCAACTTTTATTTATGCCTTAACAGATACCGTTTCGCCTTATATTTTTTCATCGTTTCCTTATAACAGGGGTAGGGATGTGGTTCTGAGTTCCAGCATGTTAATATTAAATATTTTCCATCATATCTTGGTCATACTGGACTTGTTGTTTCCTTTACATATACATATGCAGTTATGTTTTCCCCGTGTTCAATATGGCCTAGGGAACATTTAGAAATACTGGCAGAAGTGAAACTAAAACATCACTATGCACTATAACTACCTAGCCATAGTAGCTACCTCTAAAAATAAGCAAAAAGAATCTGAAGCAACTTCATCCCAAAATTTAAACAAAAGGCAAATTTGGTAGGAACATAATACACCAGTCTCAAAACCCAAGAGCTGAATAACCACAGACTTCTACGAAGGAGTTTGCTTCTAGAATTATGAGAACTGGAGAACTTAAAGCAAATATTCTTTCTGATTCTACTTCTCTGCGTTTTGTCTAATACATTTTATATGGGGCTCTTCAAAGATGAGAGATGTGTAAGAGACGTGTATTACATAGGGTGAAAATCTAGATAGGATGTGTTATATTACGTTCAATAGCTACATCCCCCTATCATCCGGATGTTTATTTGCCTTAAATAAGGAAACAGAAAGAAGAATACCTACGACGACCATCTTTGAAACCTTGCAATGATCTTACTTTACAACTTCATCTAGGCTTATTTTTCATTTCTATTTTGCTCAGATAGACGTGCTGAGAATTAAACAGTTTGAAAATAATACCAACTCTGTATAAAACTTTCGTTTTTGTTTCATTCTTTCTAGTGACGCTTTGATGGAAGAGATAGAAGCACTGGTTAACCGACACCAAGATAGACTCCATGTCGGTGTTCTCTTACTCTTTCTTTGCTTTTTATTTTGTCCTGATATGCCAAATTTGTCTATTTGCTCATTTGATTCTTTAAATTTCCAACAGATGGAGACATTTCAAAGTACAAATAAGGGCTACCATGCTGAGCTAAATGTAGTTACATATTGCCGGAATAGGACAGCTATTGACGACAAATCGAAGTTCCGGATACTTCTTGTAAGTCCTCTTTTTAGTCTTGTAATTGCATCACATGGAAGGTATATTGGATCAATGCCATTTTAGCCTTCATGTTTGTTGTACACGAGGCAAAAGATCTGAAGAAAGTAACTTCTTTATTGTTTTTGACATGTATTGTCTCATATTGTGATTGCTGATCTTTTTGACAGATGATTACTTGTCTTCCAGAGTTTTGGGCAGCATTCACGGGAGCTTATTACCTCCGAGCTTGCATTAAGGATCCTCTCCATCTTAAGTGAGGAGCAATTTTTACCTAAAATGGATCCTCTGTTGCTGAACAAGGCCCTTGAGAAGATTGTTATAAAGGTCACCCCTTTGATATTGCAGTGGTTCTTAAAATTATTTCTTCATCACCAGCTGAAAAAAACAAAGATCTACAAAAAAGTGTGTATGTGTGTATAAAGGAGTGTGCATTAACCCATAAAGTAAATGTCCACAATGTTAAATTATATTCATTTAATTTAGAAGGAAATGAAAGATTTATCCTCTGATTCACCATTTTCTCATGAAAAGTTGAATTAGATCCCAAAGTAAACACAGTTGCAGAAGCTTCTGCCTGTTCCTTTATCAAATCTTGAACTAATCATTTTTCTTTCTTTAAATATGGATTTGCTTTCTATTATAGAGTTGTAATATTGATTTGCTTTCTATTTTAGAGTTGTAATATGGATTTGCTTTCTATTATAGAGCTGTAATATTGATTTCTTAAGTTGCAGAATAGTGATAAGTTGAGCACTTTTTTTCTTTCTGTATTCCCTTCTGATGGATTTTAGCTGTCAGAATCTATGATTAAAGTACCCTCATGATATTAACTCGTAGTGATCTCTCAGGTGGTACCCTTGGAAAATCTGAATGGGCGTAAAAAGGTCGAAGCAGGAGACCTTTGTGAGAGAAGAAATGGTATTGCCGTTAATCTTAGTTACTTCTGTATATCATCTTTAAACTTGCAGAGATAATATCACACAGTTCCATTTTGTTTCTGCTTATTCTTTTCAGGCAGAGGAGTTGATCTTAATCGAAATTGGAGTGTAGATTGGGGCAAAAAAGAAAAGGTTAGCCATTAGAAAAATTGCATACCATAGCTTGACCATACCTTTTTCTTGGAGAAATGTTACTGTTTGAGTAGAGTTTTCTGTTTGTTTTATTCTCCATTTCTACATTGTGTTTAGTTGATAATAACACATGTTATGACTTGCTATGTTCTTTTATAGACAATTTCTAGTTTTTTAACATTTCAGGACTTCGATCCATATGAAGAGAATCCTGGGACTGGCCCTTTTAGTGAACCTGAGGCTCAGCTAATGCGGAAGCTCTCAATGTCATTCGAACCACACATATGGGTCAACGTGCATTCTGGAATGGAGGTGAGTAATACATCCTCCTCCTTTCGACTGTGGATGGACTTCTTAAATCTCGATGGATGGCTAGTGGTTCATCCTCAAAAGTTTTGATCATAGCATCAGTATAAAATTTGATTGTTATAAAGGCTATTCACATCCATAAAATCTGATCCATTGTTTCTTTACATATAAAACAACGGTTATTTACTATCATTAATTTTTGTTCACTTTTCCTAGGCTCTATTTATGCCATACGATCACAAAAATACCACACCAACTGGACTGCAATCGCAGAAAATGAGGGTCATGCTTGAAACATTAAACCACCTTCATTGTGGAGACCGTTGTGTGGTTGGATCAGGGGGCGGATCTGTTGGGTCAGTTTTTTTTTCTTTGCTATTAAGGAAATCTTAAATACGAATTTTTTGCTTATATCCTTCAGAATGACCATAAAACCTATGGATCATCTGGTCACCCTCTTAAAATTATTATTGAAGCACGGCATCCTATTAAGGTTGCTATTGATGTTCTTAGTGTACAGTTATAATTATGATCGAGGTTAGATAATTATTAGCAGCATAAATAACAAAAGCTGGTGAGAATTTAGAGATATCATTTTATGGGATTACTTTTCATTATAGCAAAACAATGCCTATCGACCATCAATTGGTTTGTCATTTAGGCCAAAAAGCATCAAAATGTAATGAAGTTTGACTTATTCCTATTTAGTGTAACGATTAATTTTTTCTCAATTACTGTAACAAATGTTCAATTCTTTCTATTTCGTACCCATTTCTAGTAGATGGGTTTTCAATCTATGTGGCATCGATTGATTTGGTGACATTTTTTCACAAAATCAAAAATCACACTATAATTCCACAACTTGGCATACATGTCATTAATAGTTACAACTTACAAGATCCACGGGTTCTCGGTCAAAATATGAAATATGAAAATTGAACATTAGTTGCACAAGTTGAGAAGAAAAAAAATTAACCGTTACACTGAATAGGAACTAAGGCAAACTTTGATGCATTTTGATTAATATGGCCTTTCATTTAATTCCATTGTCCATATATAGATCTTGTGGTACTACAATAGTCTTGGTTTTTCTGTGTCTTTTCTATTTTTTATATTTTATAACTTGTCTGAAACAGGTATCTGGCACATGGGACGACAACAGATTACATGTTTGACGTGGCTAGGGTCCCCATGGCTTTCACTTTCGAGGTTTGTATAGACACACCACTATTCTGCAGATCGCATGGCTATTTTCAACTCAATTTCTTGACACATCTACTTGCCAGATTTATGGAGACGAAAAGGCATCCTCGAGAGACTGCTTCAAAATGTTCAACCCTGTGGATCATTCCACCTTCAACGTATGTGAAATAGATATATGTTATGATTGATACTCCCTCCATCACGAAATAAATGTCCACAATGAAAAAACGCACACGATTTTAGTAATTATTACACTTTTCAATTAACTAAATGACAATTGTACCCTTGATAATAGAGAGAGCAATGAGTTTCTCCATCTCATTATTAAGGGTAGAATCAGAAAGTAAGTATTTACCTTTGAAAATGGGCACTTATTTTGGGACGAATTAAAATAGAAATGAGAACACTTATTTTTGGGATGGAGGAAGTACTTCATTTCTTCTTGTTTTTCATCGGATTAAATTCTCCCTGTCAAATTGTGTCCTTATGGCATCAAATACATCAATAGAGAAAAATAGGGGAGAGAATGGAGAAATCTCCAAGTTTGGAATAGAAATGAGAAAACACAGCATACCTGCTGGAGATGCTCTTAGGGTTTACCAAACACTTATCCGGGTAAGCGCTTATCAAGTAACATTACCTTACCGGATGAATATAGTAAATACCATGAATCTTACCCGGTAAGAGCAAAGGCAAGTACCGAGAGTCTTACCTGGTAAGTGAGAGCAATGACTCTTACCACGGTTAGCGCTTACCGGGTAAATTGTTACATTTGATACCATTTTGGTGGATTAAAATCTTACCTGGTAAGTAAGTGATGATGTTGAATTTTGCCTGTAAAACTTACCCGGTTAAGTGCTTGGTAAACGGCCCTTACTTTTGAAAAATGACACTTATTTTCGGACAAAATAGAACAGAAATGTGGATACCTATTTTGGAACAGATCCATTTGTTCACCCTCACAAATGAAGATGTAGCCCTGTTCTTTTAAAGAGGATGGAGTAAGCATATATTTCAAAGTTCTAAATTTACCCTCTTGATTTCAGAGAGTCCTCAATGAATGGTCTGCCACCTTCTTTGCTATGTTCAACATGGAAGCACACCAGATGAATGATCTACAAGAATCAACCCCTTTTAACATGGATCACTTGATTTCCATAGATGATTATTTAAACGGGTACTTAATCGAGCGGAAAAATAGATACGGGCAAAAGAAGGAATTTATCGACCTCGGTTTGCAGGAAATCCGAACATATTTCCGACTCTTCTTGCTGTCTTCGGTGATGTTAATGTTCATGTTCTGTTCTAGAATCGCAAAGAGTAATAGATCACACTTGCCTTCCATTTCTCTCTGAAATCCTCGGCCTTTTTTTCCAGGAAAACCTAGAGAAAGGTGTGTATTATTACTTATTTTTACGGGGTTTTCTCATTGTATTATGCCCAAACAATCATCATTCGGTTTCAGGTTCGTTAGCAATTTTTTAAACGGAAACTTTCAGATTAGTTTATGATTCTGATTTGTACAACGTTATTGACACGTCACGAAAGATTATTTCTTTGTCGTTTATTTGTGCAATATGAAAGGTTTTCGACGTGTCTATTGGCACTCTATAGTTTTGTGTCGGTGTTGTTGGATGTTTGATCAATGCAAAATCAGGTTCTATGGTGGTATACTTGCACAAACAGACGAGGGTTCAAGTTTAAGTCCGGCAGCCACAATGTGGGAGTGACAACTTTTGGGGATTTGGGTTCTTGTGGGCACTAGGCTCTTAAGTAAGCACGTAGCGGATTGATGTGTACCTGATTTGGCTCATATATGATGCTCTTGGCAGCGTGGGAGTGGCAATTCCTTGGGGATTGGGCTCGTTATGAGCATTAGACTCTAAAGTCAGATGCCTAGTGATGTATACTTGATTTGCCTCTAATTTGATGCTCGTATGTAGGGACGATGTGGACTGATTCGAAGGTTGCCAGTTAAAAAACCTTTGTTTCACAATTTGTTCATTCATTCGACTTACGGGGTAAGTTCCTTTTTGAGGTTCTCTTGTTTTCAAGTTTTGGCGTCCATGGGGGTTTTCACATCTGTTAAAACTTCAGACACCTAAGGAAACATCGATACAATCATTATAATCATATTATCTTGTTATTGTGTAACGACAAACCATGAAAAAATTGTGTTTAATGATAGGCCCGTCACGTTCTACGGCCCTATGTTTGTGTAAGACCACGTACGATAAAATTAATTTGTTTGTAGTACCATGCTAGCAAGACATTATCGTATAACAAAAGATGTTTAAGACGGGGATCTTCATGAAAGCAGACGTTATATCTTAACCGCGAACTCATATCCAGGTGAGAAATACTGGATTCGTTTGGTTTGATTTTTGGAGAAGATGTTTTATGCAAATGGGAATCTCATGTTTCTGAGGTAAGTTTTTCTCTCTTCCGGTTTTGATATTTGTTGTGATTTTCACGCCGATTTATTTTATGATGTCACGCTCTCGCTTTCTTTTTAAGGTAACATGACGTCTTGTTTAGCTCACAAGGAAAACCTTACAATTTAATCATACATATCATAATCTCACTTGCACCGTGAAACACGGTATACTGTTTTTATTGTGCAGTTTACAGCTTGCCTTTTTTACCAAACTGCACTATGTGGTACGGTTTGTGATTTTCAGTTGTCAAAGCGTGGTCCAAACCGCACCTCACATTTTATATATGTTTTTTTTTCAAATTTTATATATGACATAATAATTGGTCTAAGTTAGACTATTTTTTGCTTAAACTATTTTTAACTATGTAATATGCATTTAGGAACCGGATGTATTAAAAAAATTATTTGCTTGGATTATGGTCACGTTATTGTTGATTGTATAATGAAATTTTAATCTTATAAACATTGAATTATAGGCGTAAAGGTAGAGTGCATTAGATACAAATTAGATAAACCGCACCGCATTTCGTGATTTTTTTTTATGGTTTGAGATATATATATATATATATATATATGTGTGTGTGTGGAGGGGGGTCCATTCATGGGAGAACTGATTAGTTTGTGATAACTGTGAGATTCAATCTCAATCACAAATCAATGGATAAATTAAGAAATTAATATTTTTAGTAATTTGACTTAAAATTATAATTAAAGGGCATTTTAAATATTTTAAATTTTTATCTCTCCTCTTTTTCTCTCTCTACTACCTTCGGCCTCCAAGGAACACTATGTGATACCCAAATACACCAAAGATTCACAATGTGATACTCAAAATACATATAATGTGATACCCAAATACACCAAGATTCACAATGTGATGCCCAAAACACACCAAGTAAACTTTAAGAAGGGGTGTGATACCAACTGTGGTACCATTGTGATACCAGGTGTTGGTAATGCTCACAGGTGGATGTTTAGTGGTCGATCATCGGAGACGGCGTCTTAGTCCGACAAGATGACCAGACATTCTGTTGGGTGGCCTGCTTCAACTAAATCGCTTGATTTGAAGCTTACAATTTTTGATATCGACGAGAAGTTAAAGTCATGGACCAGATTTCTACACGAGGGATCCAAACACACTTCACCTTATTAGTCTTGTGATTTTAACCAGAAAGGCTATCGCCTGTTGGTTTTTCAGGTATGCCTCTGAAAGTTTTATATTATTCGCAAATTTTATGGTATATTTGAATTGTTTTTGATAATAATGTTCATTTTGCATCTGCTTGATTTTGTAAAATCTTGCTTTATACTCGGTTTTAAGCTAATACAAATATTTGGCTGCCATTTTTTGGTATTGTTTCAGGACTTTTAGGAAATTATATAATGTGGATCTAAATGACTACATGTTTTCCGTTAATGGGATGAAGAAGGCACAAGGGATTAGTCTTGAAAGAAGTATATTGACACGTCATTAAATATAACTAGAAGGTATTCGCACAATGCAGCGAGATACATATTTATTTCAATGTTTTGCTTTATTTTTTTTGTCTTTGATGATATAACACGGTTTATGTAGTTTTTGAGAAAAATAATGTTTTTACTTTTGAATGAAAATAAATTTGAAGTCATCATAAATTTTTTTTAACTATATCGATATTAATACCAAATTAACTATTTAAAAGTTCTTGTTTTTTATATAATTTATTTTTCTATTATAATTTAATTTAGGTCAAATTATGAAGTAATTTATTTTTGGCTTAACAATAAAAAATTTATAAAGATAATGATTATGTTAGAACTCGATATTTATCCTAATTATGTTTTAGATTTTTTATATTTTAAAATGAGATGTTGATCCTCTATTTGATTATGTTTATCCGCAATTAGTTACACGAATTCAAACATGAAGCTTTAATAAGTTGTACTTATGCATAATTTACTTGTAGTCTTCAATTATAAGTAATATACATCAATATACAGTACTTCATACATAAAAAATAATTTTTAAGAGTTTTTGTCAAATGCTTTATAATATAGTATAAATAAGGTTGAATAAGTCTTATTTTAAGTTGGGATTTGAAATATGTATATGGTTATAAAATTAAGTCGCATTCGAAATAGTACTTAAAATATATTTTTGGGTAGACACGTTCTTTCTTTTAAATATTTTATGTGTATAATTTTGTAATTTTAATCATTTTGAATAAAAATTGACTTGGGGTAGGTATGACTCAGAAAGTCTATTTAAACATCTATTTGTTTTAAAAAAGGTTTGTTATCAGAGACATTCCATATGAAGATTTGTTCTACTTTTATGTGTAAAAGCTATCAACACCAATGTTTTGAATGGATGGTTATCTGAATCTAACATAGGTACAAATGTAGTAGACTTTATGACATCTTGAAAAGATTTGATATTTTGAACTTAAATCTATACTATCTTATAAACCAGATTTATTAAAAGTCTTAAAAACAAATTTTAATTCACAAAGTACTATACATTTATGCATAAAGTCTTAAAAGTCTTAAAAACAACTAATAATGCATTAAGTACTACTACCAGTGCATATTATTACTTTTTATTTTCATGTTTCCAAAATACTTTTGACACATTTCACTCTCTCATATCTCTATGTCTTCTCCCCATCTCCCAAAAAGAGATTCAAAATAATATTCACCATTAGTTATTAAAAGTTTTCTCATTCATCTCACATTCAATTGCTCTAGAACCATCGGTCTCGCTCTCGATCTCTTGATTCTTTGCTCTTTGTGTAAATCGAACACATTTGTGTAGTCGTTTAAATATGTTGAACGTTAAATATATTGAATTTTAAATTGTTATACAATTTTTTTCATCGATATATTGTATTGAAACCATAACTCTTATTTATTCAAATTTTATTAATATGTAAAGACTATGTGTAACTTATATCATCGTTAAATCTTCTCTAATAAAACCAATGAAACTTCAAAATCGTTAAAATTCACGGCTCCCGCCGTATTACACAAGTACACAACTAGTAAATAATAATGAACATTTTATATCTTATCGTATTGCACGGGTACACAACTAGTATCCCTTAAATTTAATGTAGATTGTGTGTCTTGTTAAAAAAAAATGTAATACGAAGATAAAAGTTGCAAAAAACTTTAATTTCAGGGGCTATTCTGTAATTTCTCAAAGAGGCACACAAATTCATTTTCTTTCAATTATAACCCCCATATTTCCCGCGCTATGTTCTCGCCTTCTCCTTTACAGTTGCATCAAACCCTAGTGCTTCGAGTCTCGTCCCACTTGTATAATCTAAAAATTAAAACCCTAAAATCGTTCGCTTCATCACTTCCAGCTTCAAGGTGTAGTTCTTCCCTCAAGGTAACGTTTAATCTAGCGAATCATTTGATTTTGATGGTTTGATATTGTGTTAAAATGTGTGAATTTTAATCTATTTCTGTTTGATTCCTTGATCGTATCCAGATTTCTTGTGATTCCGCTACGATGGTATTGAAGCAAACAGCAGTTCTCTACCACTATCCATGTCCTGATGGTGCCTTTGCTGCTTTGGCAGCTCATATTTACTTCTCTACTTCCTCCGTTCCAGCTCTCTTCTTTCCCAACACTGTTTATTCCCCTATCAAGTAATCTCCCAAAGAAAGTTTCTTCATTTAGAGAAAACCAATTCTATATATCTATAGAGAGAGGGAGGTTACCCCCAAACCCAAAAAAATGGAAAACTGTGGAACACTGGTAACCATTTTATCCGAACGATATGCATATGTGTATACAAGTAATTGAAGATCTTTTTGTATCTATGCACATGTGCATGGGCATACCGGACAAATTGCTTACAAATTACTTGTATGCACATGTGTATACAAGTAATTGAAGATGTTTTTCGGTTTCCATGCACATGTGTATACCGGACAAATTGCTTACAATATGCACATGTGCATATAAGTAATTGAAGATGTTTCTTGGTTTCTATGCGCATGTGTATGTTATGCACATGTGCATACCGGACTGCGTACTGTATTACTAGTATGCATATGTGCATACCGTCCGGATGAATAATTACCTAGGTGTTCTTCACTTTTCCATTTTTTTTTTGTGGTTTTCTCCTGAACTTGACAGAGAGAAGTTTACAGGAAACCACAATAAATGGAAAATAGAGAAACACTCTGGTAACCATTCATTTGTCCGGTATACACTAACTTGAAATGTTTTCTTGTTTGCGTTTGTGTTTTATGTACATGTGCATACTGGACAAATAAATGGTTACTAAGATGTCCTCAATTTTCCATTTTTTTTGGTTTTTCCTAATCCCAACCCTTATATATGGGTGCGGCTTTTGGTGAGAGTAAAATTACATGGTGAGAAGGTGAGAACAAAACCTTCATATACTTTCATCTACCTATCTTTTTATCATCATGACCGAAACTTGAACAAATTCATGCATGTTAAAGTGATTAAATGTATGTAAAAGTTCATGAAAGTGACTAAAAGTTTTGAAGATGAAAGTAGAATAATGTAGTTGAAGGTAAATGAAGATACTTGTAGTTGAAGGAAAATGAAGTTAGATTAAAATGTCAACTCATCCAAACGCTCGGAAGTGTTCTCACCCTTCTCATCATAACTGTTATGCTCACGCGATCCCACATGCATATATATATATATATATATATATATATATCATTTATATGCTAGCAAAACTGCTTTCTAACTACAGTGATCATCATGTGTTTCAGAGCTGAAGAGCTTCCCCTTAATCAAATTGGTGATGTGTATCTACTTGATTTTGTTGGACCCCGAGGTTTTGTCAAGCAGCTCTCCCCCAAAGTTGATCGGTTTGTTCTTTTCCCATCTTTCATTTCCTGCATGCCATCGTTTTGTTTAAACCGATTTCTAGTCTTTTTGTTCTAGTCTTTTTGAAGTATATAGTATTTTTATACGGCAAATAGAACAAATAAACTCACACACTCTCCTCACCTTTGGTGAGGTTTGAACCCCTGACCTGCTAGGAGGCCAAAAGCTCACATACCGCTAGGGCAAAGGCCCTTTGGTTAGACCGATTTCTTGTTATTTACTTGGAACAACATTTATGGTTGCTTTATAATCTCTAAAAACAAGGGCATTTAATCGGTTTTAATGAGTGGTGTTGTTTTGATTGCAAATCAGCAACCTTTTGATGGCGTTGGTCATTTCAATTTGCTTACATAGACTTCCCTCCCCTTTTGTAACATCCTCCGTCAACTGTACCAGATATTGTCCGCTTTATCCACATAATGTACTCACGGTTTTGAAACGCATTTGATATAAGAAAATCTTTGTTTCCCTCCCCAACCGATGTGGGATCTCAACACACCTCGCAAAGCTTAGGAACCATTATGCAGATGGTAGATGCCCTTTTGTGTGCGTTTGGTGCCGAGGCATTACAGATAGTTGTTCAACGTTTGGTAAGATATGACTGGACATGACAAAACCGGTAAAATGACCAATTTACCCCTAATGAGTTGTTTATTTCTTTTATATATTTGATTAATTTATGTAATTTATTAAATTATAATAAAATAAATATTTTTTATAACAGAATAAACCATTAGAAATTTTTTGTCAAGACAATTAAAATGACACCAAAATATGAAGTTTATGTAAATTCCAAATGTTATTTTATACCTTTTCTATGTTATCTTTTATTATTAAATATTTAATAAATTACATAAATTAACCAAAATATAGAAACAGTATGAAAATAATATTTTGAGAATAGTAAAATGAAAGTTTAAAAAGGATAAAACACAATAAATAAAATTTAAAGAATGGATAAAATGTAAAGAGGGAGGTGTATTTGATATTTTAGAAGAGAATTAGGTTTTATTTTGAGAGCATATTGGTAAAATATAGGTTTGTTCCACCTTTTTCCATGGTGTGGGAGAGAGGGTGGAAAACGCTTGTTCCACTTTGTTCCACATAAAAGTCATGCCAAACGTGGAACAATCATCCCTCTGTTTTGTTTTGTCCTGTCCACTAGTGTATCAAACGCACCCATTATGACGATAGACCTACTTGCCTAAAGACTGCGTGTGTGTTTGTATAGTTCATTTGTTTAGGTTTTAATCTTTATGCAGTGTGATATTATTGGATCATCATAAAACCGCTCTCGAGATGCTAGTTGATGGTGAGTTTGCGGATGAGAATGTGACGACGGTGATAGATATGGGTAGGAGTGGGGCAACCATTGCCTATGATTTTTTCAAGGAAAAGATACTAGCTCGTGAAAATGGAAATAATTTGAGTGGTTATGACCTCGGGATTCATGAGTTGGAACGCTCTCGGAGGCTGTTTGAATATATCGAAGATGCAGATCTATGGAGGTGGCGTCTTCACAACAGCAAAGCTTTCAGCAGCGGTTTAAAAGATATGAACATTGATTTCAACGTAACGTTGAACCTCTCGTTATTTCAGCAGGTAAATCTTTTTGGTCTTGTGATTTACGATTGAAAAAGAAATAAAAGTGATTTAACTTATATTCCCCAAAAAAACGACGTGGGTTCTTTTTTGTCCGTTCCAAAAGAAGATCATCCGTTTGTCGTTTCACCTTCCCATTTTTCAATGTCCCAAAAGAAATTGCCTTGTTCGAAGCAAAACGCTTCATTGATCATTATATTCAGGGGCGGGCCTATGAAGGCCCGAGCGGGTGTCCCTTGCCCACCCGCTCAACCAATTTTCGCAAGTTGATTTTTTTAGGGTATGAAAGGTGCACGTGCTAAACTTTTAGGGGTGCTCCATGATATTAGAAAATACAAGGAACATCAACCAAAAAACCTAAAATGTCCCTCGAAATCAATCAAAAACCCAAAAAAAGTCTCTTCAAATCAACCAAAAAAAACTTTAAAAATCCCTCAAAACGGTAGATATTTGGCTAAAAATACATCGGGCGACTTTGCAGGCCAACTCGGCAAATATCCTGGGTCCACTGCTCATTATATTCTTGAATATACCCATAGGAAAATAGTATGAATAGTGTTCTAATGAAATTGGCCTATACTGATGAGGAAGTATCTCTATTACCATGTAATAATGTTCTAGTGCCCTTTTTTCTCTAATGTCTTGCCAGCAAACCAAACCAATCCAACATATATCACCCGGAGGTCAGTCAAGGGAGGGTATGATGTATGCATACCTATCTATCAACTCTTCTCACTCATTGGTCTTCAGAAATTCTAATTCAATGATATTTTTTCTTGAGTTGGTAAGATTTGATGTGTATTGCACCCGATCCATGACAATAACAAATAATGTTTAGGGTCTGTTTGTTAATAGCTTAACGAGCTTAATAGGGCTTGCAACTTATTCGGTCAGCTATACATGACTGTTTGGTAATGACTTAATGATATAAAAAGTGGCTTATTCAGTAAGTTTCTAGGGGAAATTTTATGCAGAAAGCCAAGTTTTTCCAAACTTGCCCCTCCTAGTTAAAAAACACATTCCTTCCATCTATCAAAAGGTCCTCCCAGATAAAAACCTTCCCAATTGCATATAGAAATATTAATCCACACAGTCAGCTTTATCTATACAGGAATTGATGGAAAACCAACCACAAGTTGTCGATTAACTGCTCCCCATAATTGCTAAAGATTTTATCTGTTAACGATACTGTGCAGTTGCTATCTTTGGATCTAGAACATGTCATAAATCAAGGCATGCTTAGCTTATCTCCGAAGCAAGATTTGATCGATGAAGTTCTTGAGCAATCGTATGAGATTGTGCTTGACGGTGGAGCATCTGGACATTGCCTGGTAAGCTTTCACATCCATATTTCGAGGTTACTTCTTGCTGTGGAGTAGATCATCTGGGAGGGGAAGAAAAACATTTCACTATTCCTGGAATTATCTGCAATTACAACACTGAAGGGCCTGTTTGTTAGGAGCTTAATGGCATTAATGAGCTTAATGAGACTCACAGCTTATTCGGTCAGCTTATATGACTGTTCCTTAGTGGCTTAGTGATATAAAAAGTGGCTTATTCAGTAACTTCTAGGGAGTAGGAAGCCAAGTTTTTTTAAAATATGCCGCTCCCAATTAAAACACACACTCCTATCTATGAAAGAACCCACCTAAACAAAAACCTCCTGAATCTATATCGACAAATTAATCGACATAGACAGCCTTATTTATTAAGGACTTAATGGAGACCAACCAAATAACCCTTAAGTACCCCTTAGAGCCGCACAAAAAGCCAAGCCCGAAACCCGGCCCAGGTCTGGCCTGAAAAACCCAGGCCTAATAAGCCCGAAACCTGGCCCAGGCTAGGCTTCAAAGCCCGACCAGGCTGAAATTTTGGGGGCAGGCTTGGTCGAAAAAAGCCCGGGTAAGCCCGGTCTTTTAAAAGCTAAAGCGGATTCTTTTTCAACCTCAAAGCCACGCCCGGGTCTTTTTCCTTACCTCAAGCATTCATTCAAACGAAACATAGGATTGGAATGGAATTCAATTCCAAATCCTGCAACCAAACAGGATATGAGTTCTGCCACATTGTTGATCCGGTGGTTGCATCTCTTTTTTGATTGCTTGATACTCTTCCATTTGCTTGTATCATCTCCGAAGAGAGAGAATGCGATTCTAAGGTTGTTCATATCCTGTCAGGCTGTTAATGCTGATTCTGTGTCTGATCTGAGGAGTGAGCTTGGCCACCAATTAGCTGAAAAAAGCCGCAATCATAACTTGAGGTTTGTCTTAACTCCAACTATTGACCCATGCTTCTTTAATTCCACAACTACAATGATATAATATATATATATAGAGAGAGAGAGAGAGAGGGAGAGGGAGGAGGAGGTTTTAAATGCGAACCATGTAATTCTTACAAACCAATCTTAGCCATCCATCTAGTCTAATAAATATCTTATTTCATATTGTTTTCTAATCTAAAGTCATGATCTTGAACCTTATCATGTTTCATATATATCTCAATCATAATTAATGAATCATGATAATTGTCTATAAATATCTCGATTGTTTCCTAATATAAGCATTGATCATGGTTTGTATTTGAAATCACCTCTATTATATATATATATATATATATATATATTATATATAATAGAGGTGTGTGTGTGTGTAACCAAGCAAAACAAACCTAATATATCCCACATTCTCGCTCGGAGGTGGGGTCTGGGGAGGTGGGACGTATGTAGACCTGACCTCTCCCTTGACGAGCAGAGTGGAACTAATGCTATATATCATATCACATAATAAAAATAAACCTGCATGTATAATAAGATCATGTGGTAGTTATTTACCACAAAAACAGATGAACGTTGTTGCCATTTTACGTACTTGTATTTAATTTAAAAATAGTTTATGCCCCTTTTTTGTGCAATAGTGCTCAAGAAAACAACTACTATACTCTTTAGGAGGTAGAGATCAAATTTGTATACATCTTAATCCCCGGGGGGGGGGGGGGGGGGGGGGGGGGGGGGAGACCACATCTTCTGATGGGATATACTGGGCTCGTTTGGTTTAGCTTGGTTCATGACATCCAGTATTTTTAAAATACGAATTTTCAATTGTTACAGATTTTCGGGGGTGTAGGTCAGCTTTTAATGGTTTTTTATTTCGTATAGAGGCATAGGCGCGGTAGTCTACAGAGTACCCGAGCTTGAAAACGACCAAATCCTAAAAATAAGTCTCAGAAGTATAGGCAGCGAAGACACGACGTCCATATCACAGGTTTTGTGCTTTCATTCTTTCACACGATCTTTGCGAACCACGTTACTTGAAACCGTTTGTGACCCTTTTTCAACCGTTACAGAAACACAGAGGTGGTGGCCATCGAAATGCAAGTTCGTTTATGCTAAACTGTCAAGAATTTGAGAAATGGAAGGTAGGTTGTACCAACGGCTCACGGAAAATGGTGGTCGTAAAGCAGAAACAGTAGCTAGCAAATTTGGATTCGAGACCGTATGTTTTCACTTTGCCGTTATGGGAGCATGGATGTTCTCTTATCCATGGGTGGTTCTGCTAATTGATATTGTTGTTGTAGTGTAAAAAAAATTACGACCCTTAACGGTGCTAGCATTGCGATTCGTTTGGTGCTACCACTGGGCATCGTAGCCAAAAAAATTGAGAGGCTACAGTGTTATATTTAAGTTTGAGTTTTAATGGTTAACCATGGTGGAACACAAAAACTCTTAACTGTAAATCGTTGAAATTGGAACTGGTTTTTTGGTGTTATGTATTGTATTCGGTGTTCAAAAAGGCATGTCATGGCGCGATATGGTGCAAGACGTGTTTCTGCCGTTACGAAATGACCCATAGCGTTTTTGTAAGGCGTGACTCACGCCATGGCGTCTTGAGGCGCCACGCGCTTTTTTCAAATAAAATATTTTTTTTATTTTTTATCTTTTGTGTAATACACTTCTAACTATGTTGAAGGAAGAAATATATGTCGGCGGCGATGGTTGTTGTGGCGGCTACAGGCTGCCAAATGGCCCATATTTATTTCTATAAAAGACGTAGTTGCTTGCTTCGTGTCATTCTCGTTCCTGATCCATTTTTGGACTTTACTTCGAAAAACGGTTTTGAAAACGAAGACAATACTCTTTTCCTAGAGATGTCACGTCGTACTTTAAGCAAAATACTCTGATGTGATGTAAGGGACACGTGACGTCACTTAACGAACAAAAGATAGACGACGTTAGTGGAAGAGACCAATTTTGTAAGAAAATCCATCAATCAAGGACGATTTTGTAACAAGGAGAGACAATAACGAACAAAATCAAGATTATAATTTATCTATATTATAATATAATTCACATTATATTACATCAGGTACGCTCAAGGTCTTAAACGCCGTAAAGCAAGGAGTGACGACGGTCCAATCCTCAAGGCTTAGGAGCCACTGCAACAAGGCCATAGCTTTTCTTCAAGATATGATTTATGACGATAAAACTCTGTATCATATATAATATTTTATATATAACATATCGTTTATACTGTTATTCAATAAGTCAATGATATCAAACACTTTAAGTTATTATATATATATATATAACTAAGTAAAACACTAAAAAGATAAGAAAGATCAAATATCACGTTACAAAACATCCGTATTAAGACATGGCATGTCACAAGTTTAACGTAACTTCATACACAAGTCTGAATCACAGGCTCACGACACGCCATGACGACTGTTACATCGAGCCATTTAGAACACTGATGGTTCTTATAACGGAATTACTAACGAAAAACTGGGAGTGCTCAAAATAACGACCAACCCAACTAGAAAAACACAAAAGAAAAACTCAACCCGAGGTAACCCGACATACAATTGATACAAAACTAGACTAACCCGCATCTATTGAGTTGGAATTGGGTTAAGATTATTTGAACTCAACCGAACCCGATGAACCCGATGCACTTCTATACTATAGATGTAATGTGATTTTTAAGTCCTTGACTAACATATATACATCAGATATTAGCCTAATCCATATTCAAAATTATATTACAATCTTAACTGTAATTTACTTTTTAATTTCCATGAACCTTCAACTTTATTTTTTGTGTTTGTTCATCTTTTTGATTTAATTCGTTTAAACATAAACACTTGGGGGTTGTTTGTTTACTTCTTAATAGTTCTATTAAAAGGCATTATCTGAATTGGTAAGAGGTGAATTTTGTTTGGCAAAAAAAAAGTCCGTCTCTTAATGGTTCTAAAACTCTCTGAATGATTTTGTATCTTGAGTCTCCCTTAACCATTCAACACCCTAATTTCATYSTRAATAATTACCAAACAATTATATTCCATTTTGCACTATATTATAAGAGTCTTTTAATCATTATAACCACTTAATCATTTTACACCAAATCATTCAACAACTGCCAAACAACCCCAAATTGTAAATGACATAGCAAAGTTTCAACCCGACCAACTCGTACGGTTTGAATTAGGTTGGGTTGAATTGAGTTGAGATTTTTGAAACCGCAAACATTTGATTGACTTGTTCAAATGCCTTCAACACGACCAACTCAACTCATGTAGGCCCCTAACGAAAACCATCAATAGATTTGAAGTTGGGCCAGGCCCAGAAAAACCTAACCCGAACCCGATAACCCGCTAAAATTTTCAAGCCCAATCCTCGCATCATTGTATTGTATCTATTGAGATTAAGCCCAATCATCGGTTACCTAATTTTTCAAACAAACCAAAGCAAACCATCGTATTTCATCGTCTAAAATCCCAGTTAGGGTTTATTGCCCCTCAACGTGTTCCTCTGGTCCAACAGTTATGGCGGGTGGTTCTCGAGCTCAAGTGAACAAGTCGCATAAGACTCGTTTTGCTTCAAAAGCCTCCCGTAACATCCACAAAACATCTGTTAAAGGTTTGATTTTTATCATTATCTCAGTTTACGAGTCTTGTTTTGTCACCTTAATACAATATCTAAGCTAAAATTGTAGCAACAAATTCATGCATTCTGTTGTTTACTTCATTTGTTGAAAAACAACAGAGCTACACACTTGATTAGGAGTCTGGATTGTTGCTTCAACTTCAAAATTTTGATATGGATTTTGAAATTTTAAATTTTTATGGATTTTCTATGCTATATTAAGTTTTTCAAGTAGAAGAATGGTGTTGTTATCGAAGTCGGTGTAACAAATTTCATTTATAATATACTAAGATTGATAGCTTTAAATCATGGTCTAGCTCCTTTATAATTCAGAGGTGGAATAGAGGTTATTAGTCTAGTTGTTCCAAAATAAGAGGCGTGCTTTGACTTTGGATGTAAATCTAGCTACTTTCGCAAATTGATAATGATTTTAAGTTATGTTGGATAAATTTGCCAAACTAGGTGAAGTTATATAAAGTACAACACATGGAAGCTGTTGTAACACTTGAGCCACATTAACGGTTCCTTGTCAGAACGTAGACTCGTAACCATAATCTCATTATAAGATATGCATGAATTCAACATATTATGCTTCAAGGGGCATTTGCTTAAATACCATTGTAGACTTTAGAATCACTAGTCACAAGGTGTTTCAAATTCAAGTAAAATGCATCCCCGTTATCTCAATCTAGCTCACTTTCTTGGACTGCCTGTTCGTAAAGGCCTAACACAGGGATTTATGCTCATACTAGAATCAATAGTATCGTGTGGAATACACCATATGTTTTCACGTTAGTAGTCTTAGGGACTGTTTGGTTGGTTTTTCATTAAGTTATGTATGGATAAACTTGTCTGTGTGGATTAATCTTATTCTGTCCTATACATTGGAAGGTTTCGTTTAGGAGGGTTTTTTCATAAATGAAAGGAGAGTGTTTTTTTTTTGGGACAGGTTAAGAAGAAGCCTTGGCTTTTTGCATAAAGCTCCCCTCTAAAAGCTTACTGAATAAGTTATTTTCTATATCATTAAGCCACCACCAAACAGTGATGTATAGCTGACCGAATAAGCTGTCCATAGTGAATACTATAGCCTCAATCATGATTTATGACTACACTATGAATGAACGAAAGTTAACTCGACTTCAATAACAACGTCATTGTTCCATTTGTAAAACTTGTTAGAACATAAAAAACTAAAATTTTCAAAACCCATATCAAAAATTTTGAAGTTGTAATAGAACATAAAAAGTTAAAGTGTATATCTTACTATGCACATTGAAACAACAATCCAACCTCCGAAATCAATGGTGAAGCTCTTTAGTTATTCAACGAAAGGAGTAAATACCTTCTTTTTTTAAAGGAAGATAACTTATGAACTTCTTGCTACCATTTTAGCTTAAATATTGTATTAAGTAAACAAAGCAAGGCATACATTATCAATATTGTTAGACTGGATGCTACATATGTTAAATATGTATCTGTATCAACATTGTATCTAGTAAGTACTACATTTGACCCTTAAGAATAGAAGTGCAGTGCTGCCCTTTTGGAGCAAAGGCAATATAACTATGAGTCAAATATTTTATTTTATTAACTGCCTTCAATTCTATTTACCATATGTATTTGTTTATTTTACTTCAACTTAGATAAGAGCAAGATCAGCAAACCTGACCGCAATGTGGGGAAGGGAGCTCGGGCTGCTCGACTGCAACGTAACAAAATGGTAATTTATAGCAAAAAGTAACATGAAAGTAAGAATTGAAACAAGATAGTTTTGTAGTCGATGTCTCATTTTATTGGATTTGAATGATGTAGATGAGAGAGCAGAAGAGAGCAGCTCTTTTGAAAGAAAAAAGGGCTTTCAGTGGAACAACTAGTGCTCCCCGTGTTATTGTGAGTATTCTCCATGTAGAATTTACTTCATTCACATATGAATCCTCATTTATTCTGCCATACAAAAATTAAAATATGTTTCCATACAGGTTTTATTTGGTCTATCCGCTTCAACAAATGTAAGTTCACTAGCGGGGGATCTTTTGGCATTACTGTCAAATGAGAAGAATGGGACTTTATTCCCAGCCGTTGCATCACCTGAGTATAGGCTAAGAGCAACGGTAGGTTGCTGCATGTGCATTATTTTTCTTTCTTAAACTTTCTATAATGTACCGTGCAATTTAAGCTGTTGATTATGTTTTTGTTTATTAAATTATAGTAAACTGTCTTTTGCTGGAAATTTTGGCAATGTGCAATGCATAGAATTGGTGACAAAATGTGAAATATTTTTTGATTTTAGATTCTTAAATTTGTTTTTTATCTAGCACATAACATAGGAACGGAAAATTTACGTTATAAAACCTTTACGTTTTTATGTTGCTTGATCAAGGCTACAATTGAGGTTAAAGGCGAAAGGTTGGTCAATCTTACTTTTACTTGTTTCTATAGGTCCTAGAAGCACCTCATGGTGATTTTATGGCATGCATGGAAATGGCCAAGGTACTTGCATTTCATGCTTTGAAACATTACATGTATAATACACACACTCTCACACATGCGCGCGCACACACACACGTATATATAGGGTCAGGTTCATGGGGAAGCTGCAAAAAAGTGAAAAATAATACCTTGGTTCATCTGGACGGTATGCACATATGCATACAAGTAATTTGTAAGCAATTTGTGCGGTATGCACATGTGCATAACATGGACACGTGCATAAAAACCAAAAAACAGTTTCATTTACTTGTATGCACATGTGCATACCATCAAGATGAATGGTTACTAGGGTTCAGTTTTTCATCTTTTTGGGTTTTTTCTCCTGAATCTCCCTCTCTCTCTATATATAAAATTTTCAGTTGATGTAAATTAACGCACATTTTCATTCATAGATTGCAGATTTGATCGTTTTTGTGGCTTCTGCTAACTGTTCAAGTGAGCAAGGTAGTTCCAATTATTACATCGACGAATTTGGCTCTCGGTGTCTCTCTGTGTTCAGGTCTCTTGGTTTACCAAGTTCTGCCATTTTTCTTCGAGTACGTACTTGTCAAAATCCTTCGCTTTTAAAATGTTAACATGTAAAAAATGTCTAGTCTATCTTGACGGTAGGATTTCTTGTTTATCCGCCTTCACTGCAGGATTTACCTCCTGATTTAAAAAGAAGAAATGATTTAAAGAAAACATGCATTTCTAGCCTTGCTTCTGAATTCCCTGAAGATTGCAAGATTTATCCAGCAGACACAAAAGATGACTTGCACAAGGTATATATACCAGATACTGATAAACAATTTAGGTGCTTTAAGCAAAGCATCATATATTCATATGTGAATATCTACCACATAGTGTCCTTTGCATGTGGTCTAACTCTTGATTTGACATGGCTTTTATGTAGTTCATGTCGCTTTATAAGGAGCAAAGGCCTACGATACCTCATTGGCGTACCCAACGACCTTACGTCATGGCTCAGAAGGTAAAGTGTCTGTTTTAATGGGAACAAAAGTCTTATGTGAGATTTTTACGTTTATAATGGTATATATGAGCAAATCATCCATGCTTTCATTAAAAGGAATGACCATTTATCTATTGGTACGCTTTTGTTTTCCTCTTACATTGCCTAATTCTTTCTGGTGTATATGTGGTTAAGTTTCCAATTGATCTTGTGTAGAGTATAAGTGAATGGATCAAATCTATGGGGGATTGATATTGAGAAGATAATGCTTTAACCAAGTCAAAATGAAGTTTGGTAAAGGGTTCTAAAAGATTCATTGTAAGTGAAAGAAATCTAAATAAGTGTAATAATTTAAGTATGACATTTAGGATAAAAGGACAATATCCTTGATACCAATCTACTCAAGGTTAGTTGCGTTAACCTGCTTGCAGATAATGAGTAGTATATGCGTTGATTTGTGTATAAAAATGTTCAACCTGCTAAAATGAACTATCATTTTTAGATCAATAAATAGCACAAACAAATTCTGTTCAATCACTAAATAGATCTTCTACTAGAATCAAATGACCAACATAGAACATTAATGGAAGATCTAAATACAACCTATAAATTCTCTTCATGCTAATAGCATCAAAAGAACTAGCAATCTAATCATGATGTAAGAGCTGTTTCGCCCCTGTGCATGTCATCACCCATCTTAAGCTATGAACCAGAGATAAATTATCGAAGTACAATAGATTCTGAGGCCAAGAGAATGAGAAATGATCAAGTAATTTACATTAGCTTCTTAGTTATAATTTGGAACTCTTATAAGGAATACTAATTGAATAAGGAATAAACTATTCAAGCAAATATCTTTGGAAAACATTTGCTGCTCCAGTCGTATGAGAACTTTGAATTCAGCCAAACGGCCATATCCGTGTTTAAAGTCCCATCTTTTGTGCGTGTTATCGGTCACACCAGGCATAGTTGTTAAAAGCAGACACACCTAGGCTCTGAGGCTCATAAGGCTCAAGGTCTTGGGCTTTTTGAAGTCGAGGCTAGGCGTATTCACGAGGCTCACTAAGGCCCTGCACCTTGGCTGAGGTGCCTTGTGGGCCTAGGCGCGCCTCATAAAGAGTTATTAAATACCAAGTCAAAACACAATATTAAATAAGTTTTCTTGTGTTCTTATCTCCTAGGCTTCTTAAAAAAAAGAGTTATTAAGTAGATGACATAAGTCAAACCCTAATATTAAATACCGAGTTCTTCTAACTTCAAGCCTCTTTTTCTATAAATATCCATACCTTAAAACTTCTCCCTCGTGGCTTGCGCTTTGAACCCTTCTCCCTTCTGCCTCTATCGAAGTACTGCTGGTTGCTGCACTCAAGTACTTGTTACACATTTGAGTTGTGTATAACTGTGTGTGTATAACTTTCCTAAGGCCCGTGCCTCGCGCCTAGGCCCCAGGACTCCTTTGCGCCTAAGTGTGCCTTGAGTCTTTAACAACTTTGCCACCAGGAAATAAGGTGAATAGGCCAGGAAAGCAGTTCCACAATTGTAGCTCCATCTGTTTGCTCTATTTCATTATAATCATGTTGTATGGCTTGTGTTGAAATTACCGTAGCTTTATGGTTCTTTTGCTAACTCTGACCTTTGAATTTTTCATGATTGCACTAAGACCCTTGAGTTTAACAAAATTACAATTTACCTATTAGTCCAGGTATTTTCTTAAAAACCAAAATCACCAAAAATGGAACATACTTGTGTAATTATTAAACTCATAAATATTTTTGGTGAAGGATGAGGGGAAAATACCTGATTTTATTCATATTCCCGATTTAAAAGGTGCATCAGTGGTGACATGCTTATCTAATATCACGACAGGTTGATGTAGTGGCTGATGGGTCCGGAAAATGTACTCTTCTCGTCACTGGTTATATTCGTGCTCGCAATCTTTCAGTAAATCAGCTGGTATGTGCTTGTTTGTCTTTACTTGCGTTTGTTGGCTTTCTTTTTTGGTTGAGTGCTTAATCTACTTTCATCAGGTTCATGTATCAGGTGCCGGGGATTTTCAGATGTCCAAGATTGAACTTCTTAAGGATCCTTGTTTGTTAAATGTAAAAAAAGAAGGGGACTTCATGGATGCAGATGAAGTAAATGATTCACAGGTACATAGTCTTTTCTCCAATGAATTTTCAAATGAATTTTTGATTTTCTTAGTTTTTGGTAGAAGATTCTTTTCTTCATGTGTGTGGGTCTTTTTTGCTTTTTATTCTCTCGGTGTGTATAAATATGTTTAGTAATGGATTAATTCTGTTTCTTTTAATATATGCAAACTTACCAACAATAATGTTTAGTCATTTACTTCCTATTGCAATATTTACAGGCCATCAGAACTTTAGTCCCGGATCCTTTGAAGCAAGAGCCTCTGCTTGTTGAAAATGTACCCAATCCCCTCGAAGGGGAACAGGTAACTTCTACGGAGTACTTCATTGTCTTTTTAATTTTTGTTAATAATATTTCAATAACACTTCCTTTAATTTGCTATCTTATTGGATTTCTTATCTCTTGTTGTCCTCTTTATGGAGTGGTACTTTGGCCATTGCCTAGGGTTGTTCGCGGTGCGTTTGGGGGTAAAACTGCAAACTGCATAGCATATTTGTGGTTTATGCATTTTCCTAAACCGCAAACAACCGCACTGCGAAATGCGGTGCGGTTTATACGGTTTGTACCTAACACACTTTACGCCTACAACCCAATGTTATAATATAGAGTTTCAACATGTCCGATTTCCAAATACATATCACATAAATTAGAAATAGTCTAAGTAAAAAAATTAACTCCAAACTAAATCGTTAAGACTTGAAAGTAACTTAAGGCAGAAATCGCAGACCAACACAAATTGAAAAAAATGGTGAAATCATGTTGTGAATGTTGATTAATGCCTAAAAGAGCCTAATGGATTATTCGGCTATAATTTATTAATATTATTGATCAAAGTCCAAAATTTTGAACTTATTAATTGACAATGGAGAAAAGAGATTAAAGATATTACATAAATTTAGCAGTTATTCTATATATGTTTTATAGATAAAATTAAAAATATATACATATATATGATGTGTGTTGGGGTTTGAACCGCAGTTTGATAACTCAAAACTGCAAACGGCACCGCATAGTGCGGTTTGGTAAAAATGCAAACCGCACCGCGGAAGTTCTAAACCGCGCTCTGCGGTGTGGTGTGGGCGGTTTTTAGACGAACACCCCCTACTATCGCCTGTTTCTTTCTTAACTTGTTACTTGAAATTGCCTTTTCAATTCCAGATTCCAGTGTTTTCAATTCATCCTATTGAAATTATTCTTTGTAACTCGATAGTTTGTTTTCATCTCTGGTATTTCCCCCCTAATAACAGTTGCTACCGAATGTAGTATTTGCTTTTATTTAAGTTGGTATTTCTGGATTGTTGAGTTATCTCTATGCTATAATTATGTTGTATGTGGCTCGATGAAAACACTGTTCGTGTTCTGAATTTGGTTGTTCACATTTCGTTTGTTTTACATAGACATGGCCAACAGAGGCAGAGATGGCAGAAGCGGATAGAGAACAGAAGGAAAAGAAACAGAAAAAAAGGTCTCTCCCTCGGGGTACTTCTGAATACCAGGTAGGTATTTATCTTGAGAAGTGTCCATTTAGGGAGATTGACAGAAATGGCTAATCAGCAAATAGGGTTTCATTTTTTAGCCATTTCCTTATCCAAATTCACTTTTTAGCCAATCCTACGCTGAAGGCTTACATATGCGTAAGAAGTGGTTTTTGGCAACAAAAAAAATAAGAATCCTTATGCAGAAAGTGGAATCCTTAGTCATTTTCTACGTAAGAATTCTTATTTTTTATTTATTTTTGGCCGAAAACCAGTCCTTATGCATATGCATAAGCCTTCTGTATAAGGATTGGCTAAAAGTGAATTTGGGTTAGAAAATGGCCAAAAAAAGAAACCACCAATCAGCTTTGGCTATTTATATAAATTTCCAGTCCATTTGTGGTTTGATGTGACCATGAGATATATGATTTTAATTTCCCAGGCTGCTTGGATCCTGGATGATTCTGATGTATCTGGTACAGACAGTGATGATGGTTCAGATAATGGTATGGTAGTTGATGAAGGGGAATATGATTTTGCTGGTCAAAATGATGGTGGGAAATTTGACCTTGAGGATGACCAGGCTTCACTCAAGCTTAGGGACTCTGACGAAGAAACTGAAGCTGATTCTGTTATGATGGTATCTTATAAATTCTTTTGCCATATCATGTTCTTATTACTTGCATGGTGATTGGTGATTTTATGTGATTTTCATAGAATAGAGGTGGTTTTATCTGCATAACGATGAAATGTTGTATATGGATACCAATCATAAAGGCTATTCACAAAAATAGCTCTTCTCGATGATACTCACACGGAATGGTCTATAAATAGCACAAAATGGCCCCCATTTTTTCAAAGTGTGCTTTTTCTCCGATTTTTTTAACTTCTGTGAGCCCATTTTGCAACCTTCTTTTTTGCGAAAAGTTGGGCAGCAAGTGGATCCCAATATAAGAGGTAAAGATTCTTTTTTTTTCGAAACACATTTTATGGACTGTTGACTTTTTGCTCACCGGTTATGCGAAATGAGCCCACAAAACGGGAAAAAGCTGAGAAAAGTACACTCCACAAATTAATGTGGCTTTGTGATTGGGATTTGCTGGAAGTGTGGGCTTGTGGCTATTTTGTGATAATTTGAAAAAAATGGGCCATTTTGTGAGGTGGAGTCTCCCAAAATGGCTATTTTTGCAAATATCCCAAATTATAATGGTCAGCTAACTTGTTCTTCATGCTAATCCTGGAACCGTGAGTTAACTCTTAAAGGACAGGCTCAGCAACTATTAATATCTACACTCCTAGCTTCAAAGCAAACAAGTTATATAACAGCTTATTATACCGGTCTTTGCTCATTTGATTTTTTATACACAGATCAATGTAAATAAATTTTGAACAAACACATTTACTAGTATGAAACAAGAACTGATAGTGTGGTTTTTAAAAAAATTGTATTATAATTGGTGCCTGAGATGGATCCTAAATGAAATGATCCTTCTTGATTTCCAGGATAATGAGAACTTGACGAAGGAGCAAATAGAAGAAGATATTCGAAAAATAAAAGAGGCACATGCTGAAGATGAGGGTATGGACTGATTTCTACATTGAAGAAAAACGTGTTCAGAATTTATGATATTATTTTTGCAAACAGCATACATATTATCCTTTTCAAAGCGCCTTTACATAGAAACATATGCAACTATGCATGTGCTTGATTCTTACAAATGCAAAGAAAATATTTACTCCCTCCGTCTCAAATAAGTGTCAACATTTCTATCTCAGTTTGTCCCAAGTTAAGTGTCTACTCTCAAAACTAAAAGTGTCTACTTTCGAATTATACCCTTAATTAGGAGATGGAGAAATTAATTACTCCCTTCTTTATTAAGGGTAAAATTGTCATTTAATTAATTAAAAAGTGTAACAATTACACATTTCTGAAACTGTATGCCTTTTACATTGTCAACATTTATTATTCAGTCCCATTAGCATATACAAGTCTTTCAGATTACCAAGTAGTCCACCAGATGTTGGAAATTATCAGCTCTTTTTTTCTCGATCTCATCATTTGATCGGGTTGTTTCATTTCAGAGTACCCAGATGAAGTCGATGTTCCAGTAGATGTTCCTGCTCGGAAACGATTTGCTAAATACAGAGGCCTAAAGTCATTTCGGACTTCTTCGTGGGACCCTAAGGTAAGCCTTATATAATTGAAAACCATTATTTTTTTTTGCTTTTAGCTTTAGCCTAAACCTTCTTTTGGTTTTCAGGAATCTCTACCTCCAGAGTATGCACGGATTTTTGCATTCGATAATTTCACTAGAACACAGAAGCATGTTCTTTCTAAAGCTCTGGACATGGAACAAGGAAGTGAAGATGAATGCGTACCTGCAAATTCTTACGTAAAACTTCACATTACAGAAGTCCCGACTCATATTGCTTCAAAACTTTGCGTTTTGGTAAAGACGATGCCAGTCATTGCATGTGGTCTCTTGCAACATGAATCAAAGATTTCTTTCCTTCACTTCAGGTATCTTATTTTTTAAGTACATTCCTGTTTATGTTTGTTCTTTCATTTAGTTTATGGAAAGATATGGATGTCTCGATGTACACATTAGTGGTCGGTGGATAAGGATTTAAACATACTCTGGATTGTAGCTTATCAGGACAACTTTGTTCTAGTATATGTTTAATCCATTTATTGGTTATCTTCTCTTTACTATCATAGTTACTTTGAGAAACTACTTTTTCGAGTAGCGTTTTCAAATTGAGCTTTTCCAGAAATGAGACGAAACTGACCAACTGGATATGTTTACACTAGCTGGGGAGGTGGAGTTCTAAAAAAGCGGATAAATGTTACTCCCTCCATTCCAAAATAAGGGTTCACAATTCTATTTTAGTCTGTCCCAACTCCCAACGTAAGGGTCCACTTTAAAAAGTAAGGGTCTACCTTCCAATTTACCCATAATTGATTCTTTTGCATTATTTATTATTGAGGGTAAAATTGTCATTTGGTTGATTAAAAAGTGTGATAACTACACATATTTAAATCAGTATCTTGTTCTCATTTTGGACATATATTTTGGGACAGCGGGAGTACAACTAACTAGAAATTTTGTAGAGAACAAAGTATGAAATGGAAAAACAATCAAAAGGAAGGGGGAGACGGTTTTACAAACTAGAAAGATAAATCAGCAATTATGCATGTACCATATGCCATATTCATATTTACATACCTCACTTCTTTATTAGTTTCTGTTTGGTTTTAACTAATCTTTTTTTTTTCACTCTTAGCATGTTTAAACAATATTTTGTGTTTTTCTTTTTGGGATTTGCAGCTTTATCTTGTATATCTATGTTGACTATTCTTTTATAGCGTACCATGTTATGCTCTCATTTAGTGTTTTTGAATTGTTTGTGCAGGGTAAAGAAACATGAAACATACACTGAACCCATAAAAGCCAAAGAAGAACTAATATTTCATGTCGGCTTCAGACAATTTGTCACAAGGTAGCATTCATCTCTCTAATTTGTATCAGCTAGAGATGCACAAGGCCCGGGTGTGATGTTAGGCGCGATCGGACTTTTAAACTAGCATTTCCCGATTGTGGACTTGGTGCTTTGGGTCTTTTATGCATCTCTAGTATCAACTACCATGTATATCTTGATGGACCTGATTTTAAAATTTTGCAGGCCGACTTTTGCATCTGACAATTTTAATTCAGACAAACACAAGATGGAAAGATTTCTTCATGCAGGACGCTTTTCTATAGCTTCAGTATATGCTCCAATTTCTTTTCCTCCTCTTCCTCTGATCGTTTTGAAGAGTAGAGGTGATTCTTCCCCACCTGCCCTCGCTGCTGTTGGCTCATTGAAAAGTATCGACCCTGATAAGATTATTCTTAAAAAAATTATTTTAACTGGGTAAGAAGCTTCTTACATTTCCATTAACTTCAATTAATTTGTTTTAGCAAAATGCATCAAAATGCGACAAAGTTCGGTTTAGTTCCTATTTAGTGTAACGAAGAAACTCTCATTTGATGTAACTAAGTTTCAAAATTTCCTATTTTCTACCCCATTTTGATCTTTAACCTTTTCATATTGTAACATTTGATGACTTGGATACCCTTTTACGAAGGGGTTACAACGAGGTGGATGATAAACATGACATCCACGTCATCAAATGTTACAAGATCAAGCACGTTACTGGTCAAATAGGTAAAAGAAATAGGAAACTTTGTTGCATCAGTTGAGAAAATAACTTTTTTTGTTACACTAAGTAGGAACTAAGGCAAACCTCGTTGCATTTTGATGTATTTATCCTATTTGTTTCCCACCTTAAGTAGTTGATGAACTTTGTCTTGTTTGCTATTTTGTGGTGTATAATGCAGTTACCCTCAACGTGTTTCAAAATCTAAAGCTGCAGTAAGATATATGTTTCATAATCCCGAGGATGTAAAGTGGTTCAAGGTACATTTTTTTTTGCGATTGGCAATTCCGTCTCTAAAGCTTGTTGATGATATGATATGCTATCGATTTAATTTGGCTAACAAAATGATAACTTTTTGTTGCCGTGTTGTATGCAGCCTGTGGAAGTTTGGACAAAATTGGGTCGCCGCGGTCGCATCAAAGAGCCCCTCGGTACTCATGGTATGGTGCTGTTAAAACTATTGCTTATTCGGAATCCTGTTATTTGTGGTGTTTATATTGGTTTATTGAGTAATTATGTGAGTTATCAAAACCTTTTTTTTGCGAAGGGAAGGAAAGAGAGGGAAAGGGGAAGAAAAAACCTGTGTTCTCGAAATTTTATATGAGAGAAAGGAAAGGAATCGGAAGGAAAATAAATGATAAGTTTTCTCTCAAAACCTTACTTGCAAATTTGGGAAGAAAGGAAAGGAAAGAAAAGAAAAGAAAAGAAAAAGATAGCCCTTAAAAAGATTAGTGATCTTGCAAATTTACCCATCATACCGCTGGTCAAAACAAAAGGGTACATTTGTAAAAGTGACATTTCCTTTCCCTTCTCTCTTGTTCAACTGTAAGAGGTTCGGTCTGGGTGAGCGCTGATTGAAAATGGTTGTTTACCAAGTGTTATGTATTAACAACAAAAATTGGGTAAAACTAAGCGGGTAAGAGTGCGGTCTGGGTAAGCACCGACTTAAATGGTTGTTTACCAAGTGTTTTTTAGTAAGTGCTTAACGGAAAAAACCATTTGGGTAAGCACCATCTGACTCGGTCAACACCTCAGTAAGTCAGTAAAAAGTAAACAGTCCCTTAGGTTCCTTGGTTACATCATCTTCTTCCATTTTTCATTCTTTATTATGAAAACCCCATCTACATCCGCAAGTCTTCTAAAAATCAAGATCAGCTAAACTCGATACAAGATTGTTAGGAAGCATTTGCTCTCGTGATTCAAAAACACAAAATCGTTTATAATCTATAGAATCAACGATCATATCATTTTCGATTATTTTTATTCTCCATTTGTAGGGGCCATCTTCATTCCTCTAGTATGCTTTATAGATCATGGGTCACCTAAGCTTGATATAAGGCTATTATGAGCATTTCACTCTACTAATTCAAGGAGACATTGGTTTAAAATTTTAGGTTTCACTTTTATTTCATTTTTTTCACTTCTTTTTTGGGTCGGTTTTCATTTATTTCTGAACTATATATGGAACCCATTTCATCTTTTCTTGCACCATCTAGATGGAATTGGTTGACTGGAAATTTTCAGATGGAGGATGTTAACAATGATGATGAAGTTGGACATGCTCTTGCTGGTTTTGCAGATTTCACATCAATTATAGTGGCCAATTTGCTTTCAGTGATTAGTTTTAAAGAAATTCACAGAAGAAACAGAAGCTCTCAAAGGCATCTATTGGTGGAAGCTTTGACTATTTGCCGAAATGTCACAATACCAATCTTTCAAAATGGTGATGCTAATTTCACCAATACAATTCAATGGGAAAACAACTTAGACCGATTGGAATACCAACGTTTTATTTACAACCACTTTTATTCTATTCGTTGCTATATAAAATGTTGGTATCACTCCACTCGAGTCTTAAGTTGTTTTCCAATCAATTTGTATTGGTGAAATTATCATCACTATTTTGATAAAATTGGAATTTGATACTGCGACATTTCTCCAAATAGTCAAAGTTTCCACCAATGTCTCCTTTAGAGAACTTTTTGTTTCTTTTGTGGATTTGTTTGGAACTAATCACTGAAAGCAAGATGGCCGTTATAATTGATGTGAAGTCTGCACCACCGATTAGAACCAGGTTTCACTTCATCATCATTGTTAGCATCTTCCATCTGAAATTTCAGTCTGCCAGTTATATATAAATTGATCCAAATTCCAAACAAATGGGACCTAAGACGTTATGCCGTTATTTGAAGAACGAGTCTGATTGGTCTACCATCCAACACTTGTTGGTGCGTTTGGATGCAGACTAGACAAATGATAGATCCATGCGTGTTTTACGATTCTATATTTCTCCTTGAAACATAACCATCAATTTATTGTTTCAAGATTAACCAAATTAGATTATGATGATCATTTATCCAATAGTTTACGGGGTGAGGATTGATCTACTAGATCGTACTACATTTTCGTAAATCGTTTGTACTTTTTTTGAGCTTTTGAAAAATAATGACCCTATTGAGCTTTTGTGCCAGGTTTCGGCCTTTTTAAACACATATACATTCATTTCGAGGAAATTCTCTGATTCTGAATTCTAATTTCATTATTTTTTGCAGGTGCAATGAAGTGCATATTGAACGGTGTCCTCCAGCAGAACGACACCGTGTGCATGAGTCTATTCAAGCGATCATATCCCAAGTGGCCCGAACATTGGTTCCCGATGTCCGGCGTTTGACCTTTGACCGTACAACGGTTTCTCCTCGTGAGCAGAAAAAGCTCGTGAAAGAGGATAGGTGTTCGACACTGATGGAATGAAGCTTTGGTTCAGATTGGTTACATCGCGTTTTTCGCTGTGATCGAAAAGTTTTGCTTGTATATTCCCTTCATTGTATGCCGTTCCAAAATTTATCGAATTTTAGACCGTCTTTACCCGTTCAGATTTTTCCGAGCTTAGTTGGTCTAATGATTTGCTGAATGTTGAATCTGTTTGTAATTGAATGAGTTATAGCGTTTTTCTTTAGTTGCTCTTTCTGCTGCAATTGTTTCCCAACGGTCGATGGAGATGGGCTAACCCATTAACCATTTGGTCCGACACGGGTTTGTGTTTTGGTGTGAACCGATCTCGAGGATAAAATACTAGGGCTCTTTATTAAACACTTATCTAGCAATCACTTATCAGATCATTTATTTAACTGAATGAACATGGGAAGGGTCCAGAATCTTGTCCGCTAAGAGAGATGATAATAATGGAGTCTTTTCCGGTAAGTGAGGGTCATGAGTCTTACACGGTAAGTGCTTACCAGGCAAATAATTACACACGATAATGTTTTGATTTATTACAATCTTACCCAATAAAGTAAGCTAGAGTGGTGACTCTTATGACTTATCAATATGTTTACCAGGTAAGCGTTTGGGTAAACGTCTCTTTTAACTCTGTGAATAATCGTGGTCCTCTTGTCCTAAATGCTTATTGGTTTGGCAAATTACTTGCATCCATGTGCGTAAGTTACGGCTACTTTTTAAAATTTTAGTCGATTATGGACTATTTTCTTACAGAAAGAGAATCGATAATTGAAGAGTCGGAAACAAAGTGACCATATATATAGATTTGGAATCACGTGAGACCAGCCTGTTTTCGTGAGATTTGTGAGACTATTTTTTTACACTTGAAACTTCACAGCAAAACACTCTGAAGGTGGTATGTATATGTGTGTGTGTGTAGGGGTTGGGATCATGTGAGACCAACTTGCTTTCATGACACCCGTAAGACCATTTTTTTACACTTGAAACTTCACAGCAAAACACTGTGAAGGTAACTTTCACTATATATATATATATATATATATATATGTATGTATATATATGTATGTATATATATATGTATGTATATATATGTATGTATATGTATATATATATATATGTATATATATATATATATATATATATGTATAAATGGGGTTGGGTTTTCATGAAACCCGTGGCACCATATTTTACACTATATATGTATGTATTTTACTGTGAAGTTTCAAGTATAAAAAAAAGTGGTCTCACGTGATCCCAAGTGTGTGTGTTTTTGTGTGTGTGTGTGTATATATATATATATATATATATATATATATATATATATATTATAGGCGAAGAATCGTGTGAGAAAGAGATGGAATCTGGACTCTTGATCGCCTTTTAATCTCAAACTCATCCATGAATCGTGTTTGATACGGGGATAGATCCGGTGCATCTCATCCTAATATGCATCCAAATGTGCAGATCTTTTCTTATACTTCTCATCTTAACTATCTTTCTCACCAGAATCTTAAGGTACTATCCCTGATTCTATGAATCATCTTTGATCATTCAAACTTTGAAATTAATATTAACATTTTTTGGCAAAAATCAATAATTATGTTTACCATCTTATAGATCTCTTAAATGGAAGTATGTTACCTACTAAGCATTAAGTGGGTTGATCCATTTGAGTTCTCTCTTTTTGATCAACTGAAGAAACTCTTCTCTTACGTTTATCAAACACTTACTCGGTAAGCGTTTATCGGTAAAATTTAATACTATCATTTACTTACCACGTAAGAGTTTAGTCCACCAAAACGACATCGTATGCAACAATTACCCGGTAAGCGCTTACCATGGTAAGAGTCATCGTCCTCATTTACCGGGTAAGTCTCTTGGTCCTTGTCTCGCTCTTACCGGGTAAGATCTTTGATCCTTATTATATTCATCCGGTAAGGTAAGATTCTTGATCCTTATTATATTCTTAATGGGGCTGTTTGGCAATTGTTGAATGGTTTGATGCAAAATGATTAAGTGGTCAGAATGCTTAAGAGACTCTCATGATATAGTGCAAAATGAAATATAATTGTTTGGTAATTGTGTACAATAAAATTAGGGTTCTTAATGGTTAAGGGAGATCCATGATACAAAATCATTCAGAGGGTAATTAAACCATTATGAGGCAGACTTTTTTTTATCAGACAAGATTCACCTCTTAAAGATTCAGATGTTGCCTCTTAATGAAACTATTAAGAGGTAAACAAACAACCTCAAACACCTACCTAGGAAAGACTTTGGTAAATATCCCCTTGGTTTTTTTGTTAGTTTTCATATGCTAACAACATTCTTCCAAAACAAACACTTGTTGGCAAACACTTTTTCTTATCATTGCTTACTTTTTTTGCATAACAAGTTAACATTAAATGTTTAGCTGCACCTTTTATGGCCAATCATGGGTTTTGCAACTAATGAGTATTAAACAGTAAGGGTGGTGCCTAATTGGTTTGAGCTTGGCTCTAAAAGTCAAAAGTATCAGGAGGTCTCAGGTTCAAATCTAAGAAGAAATAAAAATCCCCTTATGGCCACGGAGGTTCAAATGCAATGACTCCGGGCAATCTGCAAAGCAGGTGGTCGTCCTGGGATTATTCGGCTCGTATAACGGGTTGGATATCCAGGTTAATCAACAACAACAAAAAAAAACTAGCCAGTATTGAAGAATACAAGTAACTAGAGTTGTTTTATGTTCGTTGTGTGCTAGTCTTTGGTCTTTTTACATGTCTGACCACATTGCCAGGGGGTCTTCATAGAAACAACCGCTCTACTCGTTGTTGTAGAGGTTAGGTTTGCGTGCATCTCACCCTCCCTAGAGCCTACTTTCGAGTGGGATTTATTGGGTCCATTTGGCCTTTGTCTTGTTGCTGATTTGCTGTTTTCTTGATGTCGATTTACTGCTACAGAAGCTGTTGGTATAATCCTTTGCCTCAATTAGCATCATTCTTGCAAACTCAACTGTTGTTTTGCTAGTGAAATTTGGTGCTGAATATCTGATAATACCAAACCCAACGGCCCGTCTGACCGCTAGTATTTCTGAATCGATGAATAATCCGGGCTTCTAGACATCGACTTGACGACAACCATTTCCAAGCCAAACGGTAGAACGAAAAATAAGACCAAAGCTCTTGAAAGACTTGCACATAACACCCGAAGGGTAAATGAAATCCGATAAGAAATTACTAAGAAACGATTCCCTTTTAAGGTTTCATGGCATGACAAATAAAAATGTACAAGAACGCGTTAAATACGAGTACAACCGAAGGGCGCCTGCAAAATCAACAGTGTGAAAAAACCCAACCAAATCTATGACTCTTTACTCCTCTTTCTTACGGGCCGAAGAACTTTCCGGTGTTTCGTTTGGTACCAAATGTTTAACACTTGCCTCAGCTTCCGAAACAAACTTGGGATCAGGCTCGTGTTTCTCCGAGGGCTCTCTCATAGCAAGATATATGTAGAATGCAATTACGACATTGACGGATACAACCGCGAGAAACCCGCTCAAAAGTGTCAAGGAATATGGAGACATATCGGCAATACCTGTTCAAGAAAGCGAAAAGACATGATAATAGAAATCGATTTAACGGAGATTAAAATTTTGAATCACTGTAGTTGTAAGCTAACCACCGTTCACATGATTTAGTGATGTAAGAGTGCGTTTGGAACGCAAACAACAGGACAGAGGATAGTGAGATTGGGGGTGGATGGTTTTAAAGTTTTAATTTTACATGGGTAGGTTAGTAATTTACCAATATCTCCCTGGTTTTTACCTATTTTAGTGGGACAAAAAAAAAGAAAAAAAATTGAAATAGCCATCTTCAGAGATCAAATTCATCTCTTCCGGAATTTTTCAAGAATATCCCTACCTCCTTAAGTGGCACCTCCAAGACTTGCGTAGGAGCTAAAAGACAAAAAAACATTCACTTTTCACCCACTTACAGGGGTCCCACTTGCGGTGCCACTTGCAGAGGTAGTGATATTTTGAGAATCTCAGGTGAGAATGGCTAAGAGGTGAATTTGGTCCATAAAATGGCTATTTCCTTTAATTTCCCCTAAAAATGCATTTATGTCTCAATCAGGCTCCGTACTATCCTAGTCAAAGGTCAAAGGTCACATCAAACGTGACAAACAACAATTTTTTGTATTGTCTTGTCCAGCCATGTCCCGTCCTATGTACCGTACACAAAAACAACCTCTTTACCACTTGGGGTAGAGGTAACAAACAAACCTTTGGTAGATAATTAGCATCAAACTTGCAAGCAAAAAAAGGTGAACCGATATCATACGAAACCATCCAAGTTTTCTAGAAAAAAGAAGGCCGAAAGAAATACGAATTCAAGACTTATCCAAATGAATATTTGCGAAGTTCATATGAAGCTTACCGGGAAATAAATTGTTATTGAAGGCATACAAGATTGCAATTGGGACCGCCCACATCAACATAGATGTTATGAAGAACTTCTCTATAACTCTAGCCATTCTTTGCTTCAAACTGCAAAAAATTCAAACATCATAAGGTTACTGAATTATTTGTGTTCATTTTTTTCTCAATATAGAGGTAATGTCTCTGATCACTTTAAGTAATTATATTAATGAAAACTATCAATATAGTGTCAAATTTTTAACTATCATATGTTTTACATAATCTAAAGAGTAAATTACGATTTCGTCCCTGTGGTTATATGAGAATTATGGATTGGGTCCTCCAAGTAAAATAATTACATCCGTAGTCATTGTGGTTTCACTTTTGTTATGGACTAGGTCTCTTACCCCAACTCCACTAACCAATGCACCATTAAGTCAAAGATAATATGGACCTTTTACCATTTTCTTTATATATACGTGTGTGTGTGTGTACATATATGCCTATAGCATCGTCCCTCAAAGAAGTCAGTCGGCATCCCTCTGTCCTCCCATCTCCGATCACTCACCACAGCCTCCTTCCCTTTTCTCAACCGACCACCCCACCTTCAAGAACCTGCAAAACATCTGTGGCAGAACCCCCTCTACTGCCACTAGACAAGGATGAAATCTGTAATTTACTCCATTGTGGCTCCCTTACCTTTGCGAGCTAATGGAGTCCATGGATAGGCTCGATTTATGACTGACTTGTAAGTTTGTCAGACACTTAGACTAGCTAGATGAAGCCATTAACCTTTCTAAGGTATGAGAATGAGCTTGATGTTGGTCTATAAAGATAGTTGCTAATGATTTATGAAAGCAAATCGTGGCGTGAAAATTCGATATATATATCCACTTATGGGATACCTTTCACTGAAGGGGAGGCGAATTATTTGCTTGAAAACTACTATGTCTTTGATCAAACCCTCCCTGTTTATCTTCCTGTTCTTTTCCGATCAAACCTTCCCCTCCGATCATCTTCTCCAAAGAGGATGGACACAAACAAACTGATTCCTTTTGTGGTTGTTTTGACAATCCCATAAACTAAATTAGGTAAATACAGATGCCAACTTAAATTATAAAAAGACAACCTAGAATAGAAACAAATTACAAGATTATCGAAGAGTTTCATCGACTTGCATTGTTTCAAAAGAACAAATCACAAGATTAAGTTTCTGAACAGGAACAAATCACACTAACTGAGCCACTCTAGATCCAGAATCTGAGTTTCTTTTTCTCGATCTCAGCAAACTCCATCCACCAACCAATTTGGACCTCGACCTGGACCTTGATCATGATTAGGTAGACAAACCTCGATCTGGACCTAGATCATGCATCTGGATATGAGGGAGGCGCTGTTGTTGCTGGTGATGGAGGCGAGGAGGAAGACTGTCATTTTGTAAGGGAAAAGGAGGAAGACCTCCATTGTTTGGCCGGAAAAACAAAATGGGATGGGGGATGAGGAATTCATCGATGCGTTCTAAGGTGGCGGAAGGGTTTATGGGGGCAAGATTTTGAGGGAGGAGGTGGGAGGGTTGCAAGGTGGTGACCGGAGATGGCCTTCATCGGAGGGACGATGGCTTTCATAAGAGGACATGATTTGGCCGGCGTGGGTGGTCTTGGGAGGGGACTATGCTGAGTCGGTGATACATGTATATTATATATGTGTATATATTGTTAAAAGAAAAAAGTTAAAAGGACAATATTACCCCTGTTTTAACGGAGCAATGGTTAATGGAGTTAGGGCAAGGGACCCAATCCAAAACAAAAGTGAAACCATAGTGACCATATACGTAATTATTGTGTTTGGGGGACCCAATCCAAAATTTTCAATAACCACAGTGACCAAATTTGTAATTACTCTAATCTAAATAACCATATCTTATATGTTACTAAATAAATAGCTCAAGTGTGCTTAACCATAGTTAAGTCAAAGAAGATTGTCCAACTGCTTACCTCAGTTTGATGAGTTTAGAACACTGATTTGTGGGAACCATTTATAAGTCACACACTTTACTAGCTATTTTCAAAAGAAATGAGGATGTAACTTGATGAGAATATGTTATGAACCCAACCATTCAGTATATGTATGCTAGAAGAAAGAAAAATAAATCTGGACAGGAGGGGATCAGTGGCAGAAAAGGATAGCCAGGTAGTTTGGGCTTGAGGACAGCTTCGGAATTATCTTTAATAAGTCATTATGAGTATATATAGTGGGGAGTTTGGGGTGATTGGCATATGGCTCTTTTGGGAGATCCCTAGCATCTCGAACTGCTAGATAGCCTTTTACGGTTTTCCTTTTGTTAATTCAATCATTCAACACCTCCTTCAATATTAAATTTCCTCTGTTTACCTCTTTGTTCTCTAATTCATAACAGAGTACATAAATTAAATGGTTCTTCTTGAGCTTTTGAGTTGTTCAACCGAATTGGTAACACAAGACAAAAAACCAAATCAAACAAAACCTAGTAAGTCCTATGTGTGTCTAGGGAGGGTAAGATGTATTAAGACCTTAACCTCTATCCTTCCCAGTTCACACCATACAACATAGTTGGTCCAATGGTTACCCTATGGTATTTGACCATTAGCATTAAGTGTTACCTTATTGTCACATAACACTCCCGTGGCCACCCTCCATTTTAACCAACCTGCCTTTATGCTCCTCGATGTCACCCTCATTTTGAATCATAGAGCCTAGATACTTGAAGTTGTCATTTTGAACTACCCACTACTCTCCTAGATTGACTTCTACCCTCACTTAATCACACTCCTTACTGAAGTTGTACCAAATGGGCAAGACTTAAATCTCCAATGCCACCCTCCACTGCTCCAACCTAGAGTTCACCTCTCTCTACATTTCCACTACTAGCACGATGTCTCCGGCAAACAACGAACACCATGGGACACACCCTTCGATACCTTGTGAAATCTCCTCCAAAATCATGGGCTCACGGCAAAAAGGAACGGGTTTAGTGTCGAAACCTGGTATAACCCTATCTCCACCTGAAAATACTCCGTCTCACCCATATCTTGTATATTGCCCTGACATACCTTCATGTTATTCTCTCTCTTCCAGACTCTCCAGATCACATCCCAGAGTACATCATGATAGGCTTTCTCTCCTGGTCTATGAACACCATGTATGCAAATCCTTATAATGTTCTCTATACCTCTCCATAAGGAGTCTAATTAGGTGGATTGCCTCCCAAATTGGTTCTCAGACACCCCTATCCCCTCTCCTTCTCCCTCTCTAGCCTCGTTAAAAAGCAAACAAAAATAAACTACCCCATCTCTCCTTTATTGCATTGTGACTAACTAAAACATGTGCAGTCTATCAAAAAAGAGATGACCTTCGGATTTAAACCATAAGCATCCAAACTTTCCATTAAGCATAGGCACAATAACCTCATAGTTAATATAAAGATGCATGCTACAAAAAAAAAAACAGAATGTTGTGATCATAATGCTCTAAACTCATAGAACAAATGGACAGCTAATCAACAACCCGATTTAACATTGAACAATGTCATTCCAGTTTCAAATACCTACAGTGTTGTGATTATAAATAGGAACTCACCAGCAACCCTATTTAACATTTGTAGCAAAAGTCAGTAGACGTTGGACCTCCCATTTTGTGGTTTGGGAGTGGAAATATTAAAACCTCCACCTAAATCAAGATCATAAAATATAAGTGTAAGTATGACATGAATCCGAAGACCTAAATACCTGGTTATGTGAAAAGATTTTACTCTCAATTACGTCAATGCTTGAAGCAATAGAGAGATGCTTACTTGGAACGTGCATAAAGTACGTGAGAAAGGCATGGAACTATGGAAGGCATGTTTTAACATGCTTTAAGAATTAAACAATCTCATTTCAACATATAAGGTGCATATCAATGATCTATACATAGCAACTGATTGGAAATGCATATCATGTCTAGTAATTTGGCTTTACAGGGAAGGCATAAATAATCCACCACTTACCAGTTACTTATTATGATGAAGGATCGTGTGAGAATAGGAGTTAAGGTGAGAAGCCTAAGAGGGGATCTGGACTTTTGTTCACTTTTAATCTCACCCCCACCTCATGAATTGCGCTCTCATGGGAATTGATCCGGTGCATCTCATCAGTGTTAATCTTCAATTAGGATTGATCCATCCGGTGCATCTCATCAGTGTTAATCTTCAATTAAGATTGATCCATCTAGTGCATCTCATCAGTGTTARYST